ATCAAGTCTGGGACTTGGTGAATTTGCCCGAGGGTTATACACCCATTGGATGCAAATGGATCTTCAAAATGAAGACAGACAAAGATGGAAATGTATCGATATACAAAGCTAGACTGGTGGCAAAAGGTTATAGACAAGTCCACGGGATTGACTATGATGAAACTTTTTCACCAGTTGCAATGCTAAAGTCCGTCCGGATTATCCTAGCGATTGCTGCATATTACGATTACGAAATATGGCAAATGGATGTCAAAACCGCCTTCCTTAATGGGGTTTTGGAAGAAACTGTGTATATGACACAGCCAGAGGGTTTTGTCAATCCAGGAAACGCTGGAAAGGTTTGCAAGCTGAAGAAGTCCATTTATGGACTAAAGCAAGCCAACAGAAGTTGGAATCTGCGATTTGATGAAGCCATCAGCAAGTTTGGTTTATAAAGAATCCAGATGAGTCTTGTGTATACAAGAAGGTCAGTGGGAGTGATATTGCATTCCTAGTCCTGTATGTCGATGACATACTGCTCATTGGAAACAGCACAAAATTGTTGGAGTCCGTAAAGGGCTGGTTGGGAAAGTGCTTTTCAAAGAAGGACTTAGGAGAGGCACAGTACATATTGGGCATCAAGATCTACAGGGATAGATCTAAGAGGATGATTGCATTAAGCCAGAGTACTTACATTGATAAGGTACTGGCTCGATTCAACATGGAAAATGCCAAAAGAGGGCATTTACCCATGTCCCACGGCATAACTCTCAGCAAGAAACAGTGTCCACAGACACCTGTTGAGCGAGAAAGAATGAATCAGATCCCATATGCTTCGCTAATCGGATCGATCATGTATGCAATGATATGTACAAGGCCAGATGTATTGTATGCCCTGAGTGCAACGAGTCGATATCAATCGAACCCAGGAGAGGCGCATTGGACTGCGGCCAAGAATATCCTTAAGTACCTGAAAAGGATCAAGGATAAATTCCTGGTGTATGGAGGCCACAAAGAACTGGTTGTTGAAGGTTACACCGACGCTAGCTTCCAAACTGACAGAGACGACTTCAAGTCACAGTCGGGGTATATATTCTGTCTGAAAGGAGGAGCGTTCAGCTGGAAGAGTGCCAAGCAGAGCACCACTGCAGACTTTACAACTGAAGCCGAGTACTTGGCCGCTTTGGAAGCTGCCAAGGAAGCTGTTTGGATTCGCAAGTTCATCAGTGAACTTGGTGTTGTACCCTCAATCAAGGGATCGATAGACCTCTATTGTGATAATAGTGGAGCTATCGCCCAGGCCAGAGAGCCGAGAGAACACCAGAAGGTCAAACACGTGCAAAGGCGATTTCACATGATAAGGGAATGGAAATCTGAAGGTGAAATCAGAATTTGTAAGATCGGCACGAATGATAATGTAGCCGATCCTTTGACTAAACCTCTGCCTCAAGTGAAACACAACAAATACGTTGAGGCAATGGGAATCAAACACATAGGAGATTGGCTTTGATATTCCCTGCACAAGTGTTTTAATTAAACAGGGTTGATTTAATGTAAGACACTGTACTAAAACCATTCATTAATGGAGTAATTAATTTTTGTGCAAAATTATCATTCACTCCATTACTATTTAATTGTGGTTTAGAATTAAATAATGAGTCCATTCGATTTACTAACATATTCAAAACAGGGTATCAAGACCATGTCTTGGATAAAGAAACACCTGTTAAGTGAACATTGAATATTAAATCGAAAAGTATCCCTAATCGAGGTCATCTAACAAATGGACGATTGATGACCGCAATAGATTAGTGTGTAGTATGATTTACAGCACCGTTTCTTGTGCTGCGAGGACGTGACAGTCATAAATCATTTGCACAGGTACAGTTTAGAATTGTACTGGATAAGACCTATGAGAGTACTTTAAGAAAATTTAAATTTTGTCATAAGTACATTTCTCATTATGGCTATCGGAACTTATTTCCTCAGACCATGAGTACTGTGAAGTTTTCTTGTTTGAGTACTAGGCTCTTTGATGTTTCCTAACGTCTGCCGTAACTGGGGATCATAACGGGAACACTCGGGAGTCTATGTCCTCTTAGTAAGAAGAACTTACAATACAAGACTGGGATTGTCCCCCTACTAATAATAGGGAAAATGTTTTGTTGTTTAAAAGGCCGCTCGAAGAGTGAGACTGTAAAATGCATGGCCATGCTCAGATGGATTTTAGAAATCATCTGCTTATTGACAGTCGAACTCGGAGATTGAGAAACACTTCTGAACGTAATAAGGATGACAAAGAATCTTACCTTATAGTTCACGAAGAAACATTAAGTGACAAAGGAAATGAGCTATACACAATATGCACACTTGTCCGGAAGGACAAGTGGGAGATTGAAAGGAATGGTGTCCTTCCAACAAGTGTATTATTCCGATAGAGGGTTCAGAATTATTACAGAGCTAATTCTTCAGTAAGGTCAAGTGATCGGAATGCCTAGGTGGAGGCCGCTTCCGATCAGTAATATCAAGGTACAATTGATATTACAGCTTAATCTTAAATGAACCCTTCGGGTCGAACCCAACGAATCTCCGATCCGAGACGTCGAATTGATCCGAAAGGATTTAATGAGTCGACAGAGTTTTACGAATACAGACGTCGGAAATCGAGCCTAGGGCGTCGATACAGAGCGTCGCAAAATCACAAGCAACAAGTATGAGCGTAGCCGTAGCTAGGCTAGGCTAGCTCATAGCATGCCTAGGTGCACCATGTGTGTGCTAGGCGCACCATGGTGTGCTAGGCACCATCGTAGCCTAGGTGCACCTTAGCAGCCCATCGCAAGCTAGCATGGGTGCCTAGGTGCGCATGGCAGCTATCGCAAGCCACACAGACACCAGGCAGCCCATAGCAGCTAGCAAGCATGCTAGCGTGGTGCCTGGGTGCATGTGGCGCCTATCGCAGGCAATGGCCGCACCAGGCGCACCATGGCAAGCACTAGGTGCTGCGTGCGTGCGTGCCTGGCTTGGCAGCACCATCGCAAGCACCAAGTGCTGGCATGGTTGGCTGCCTGGCAATGACGCGCCATGTGCGTGTGCTTGAGTGCTAGCCTTCGCATGGCAGCACCAAGCATCGCAGCACATGCGAGAGGCTGCGCGCCAGCGTGATGCCAGGCCTCGCACAAGCAGCCTCGTACCACAGGCGCATTGATGCGAGTGGGCTGGCAGTGCGTGGTGCGTGGCGCATGGCTGGTTCATGGCGCATGGCTGATGCGAGGCATGTGCGACCAGCCAATGCATGGGATGCGAGGGCCAGCATCAGCGATGCCCAGCAGACACAAGCTGGGCGATGCATGGTTACGCATGCGATGGCAAGGCAGCACCACGCATATGCGTGTGTGTGTGCCTACGATAGCAACAAGGCAGCACCACGCATATGTGTGTGCGTATGCCTGCGGCAGCGAGGCACCAGCGCCAGCGATGCCTAGCAAGTGCTAGCTGGGCGATGCATGCTGTGCGTGCGATAGTGGCGCTGGGCAGATTGGTGCGTGATGTATGGTGCGCCAGCCAAGCAAGCTAGCTGGCTGTGCGTGCTGGCAGCGCCAGGTGGCAGCAAGCCTAGCTGCCTTGCAAGTGGCAGTTTGAAGGGGAAGTGGGGACCAAAGCCACCAAGCTTCCCTTGGGGAGAAAGGCAATGGTCCCCCCCATGGGATATGGTCCTTACCTAACCCATTCTCTCCTTTTACCACTTGTTGGCTTGTGATTGTTTTGCATAATTATTATTTTAGAATTAAATAAATTATTGGAATTGCACATGATCCCACATTGATCATGAAAAGAGGTTTCAAGTCCCCATTCTCTATAAATACCCACTTGGTTGGGATTTAGAGAATACAACCTTGAGTGGAATTAAAAAGGCAACTCTTGAAAAGAGTAAACCTTTGATTCGTAAAACTCATAGTTATTTTGTCCGGGTCTTGACTAACCTTCAAGACTTAGGACGCTCGGGTCAGGTCGAGGGTACGATCCGTCGGAGATCTCGTCTTTTCGGGATTTTGAAGTAAGAGCTCTTTAGGAGCGAAGCACGCGTCAAAGGTATATTTCTTGTCCTTAATCTTGTTTGATTAAGTTTATTATGCTTGTTTAATTGCTTTAATTAAGGGGCGGGTCTTGGTGGGTTTCCTTCCGCGTAGTGTCGGGTCACTACGAAACCCTACAGTCGTGGCCCTTCTCCACCCTCGTAGATGTCTAGGGGTTATTTCTGGGTGGGGAAAAGGGAGGAGGGGGTTGTTTGTGGTGGTGGAGGGTGGGGGGAGGAGTTTCGAGTTAGAGGTTATAAAACGGGTGGGTGGGTCGCCACGGGGAAAGAAGAGTGGAAAGGGAGGCGGTCGGGCGCCGCCGGCGCGCCCACCGGGGAGGATGTAGGTTGTCGGTGGGGTGGGGTATCCTGGGCGGCGGTGGTGGGAAGCGAGGGGTGGTGGCAGTGGCTGGTTTTTCTTTTTTTTGTTTTTCTTTTTTTTTGTTTATATATATTTTTGTTTTTTTTTGTTTTTATTTATATATAGATATATATATATTTTTTAAATTATTAATTTTTTTAAAAACAGACTAATCAGAATGGTATATGTGGCAAGAGGGAGAGAGGTTAACGGTCAACTAACGGCAGTGGCATGTTTAGTTATTGTATGGAAAGTGTGGCATTTGGTGAATTTTTGGAAACCTTAATGGCATTTGGTGAATTTTAAAAAAGTTGGATGACATTTGGTGAAATAGCCGAAAAAAATATAATTTTCGTTTTTTATAAAGGGGAATGATATTTTGTTTAGTAAAAAGGAATAGGGCAGGGGTAAAAAAAACGACTATTTCACCAAATGCCACTGAGCAATTGCAAAATTCACCAAATGCCATGAGCCTTTTCCAAATTCACCAAATGCCACCGAGTTTTACAAAATTTCACCGAGTGCCATTAATGACTGACGGCAGTTAGTTGACCCCACCACTTGCCACGTGTCACCCTTTGATTGGTCCGTTATTAAAAAAATAACAAAAAATAGAAAAAAATAACAAAAAATTTAAATTTTTTTTTTTTTAAAAAAAACCTGCTGCCAGCCAGTCATTCCGGCCACCCCACCGCCAAACCCCCTTACTACCGAACCCCATCAACCAGCACCGGCAGGCGCACCTCCCCTTTATGATTTCGGCCACCCCACCCCTCCCCTTCCGATTTCAGTGCCACCAGCCATTCCAGCAGCCCCCTTCCCCTCCCTTTCCTCGCACCCCCTTTCCTCACACCAGAATCGAAGCATTTCCGTTTCTATTACCATTTCCGTTCAATTTCAAGCTATCCACTCCATTAATCACCAGAATTTCTCTCTCCTCCGTTGACGGAACCGTATTCTCCCTTACAGCTTGAATTCACTGAAATCTAGGGTTCTGCGAACTGCAACTTCAAAAGTTAAACCAGTAACAAAGAGGGAAAAAGGTTGATTAAATAAGCCTTCTGAGATTCGAGCAGAAGGTGGGCTTCTCCCCCTATTTTCGAGAGTTTGCACGCCTGAATTTGGGGTGTGAACCACCAGATCGAGGCCAACACCTATTGAAACAGTCATAGCAGCAGAAAAGGAGTTCGCAAAAGGAACTTGAGTAGAGTTTTCCGATGAGTTCCCGGAATCAGAGTTGCCATCTCCAGCGAGAATTGTTGGAGAGGAGGGGTTTCGCGACGGGAAAGAGGAGGGGAGGGGGAGGGCTTGCTTCGGCGGCCGCCGGAACGCCTGCCGGTGAGGGTGCAGGTCGCCGGCGGCAGGGAGCGGGTGGTGGAAGGGGTGGTGGCTGGGTGGTTTTTTTTAATTTTTTTTAATTGTTTTTCATTTTTTTTAAAAAAAATATTATTTTTGTCAAAACTAACCAATTAGAAAGTGACCCGTGGCAAGTGGTGGGGTCAACTAACGGCCGTCAGTCATTAATGGCACTCGGTGAATTTTTGTAAACCTCGGTGGCATTTGGTGAATTTGGAAAAGGCTCATGGCATTTGGTAAATTTCGCAATTGCTTAGTGGCATTTGGTGAAATAGCCGTAAAAAAATTATAAGCCATTTTTAGATCCTTATATCCCCTTTCCCGCGAAACTCTTCTCGACCACGACGGAGCTTGAGGCGAGCAATCTGTACCAAATTTTAGGCGTGGTGCTTAAGTTACTCGGGCAAATAATCACCAAATTTTGCACCTCCGTTGTCCATCTCTTTGGGTCGAAGGGAACAGGGTAAGGTATTGTTACTCAGGCAACAAATCACCTTTTTTTGAAGCTCCGTTCTTCATATCTTTGTGTTGAAGTGAACAGGGTAAGGTATTGTTATTGACAAAGTAGTTATGTTTCGCCATTCAAAATAATGGTAGTTGGGTTTTTAATTTAACTTTTATGTTTTAGGTTATCAATGGAGGTTGAAGATCCTGCGGTAATTGGTGAACCACTCGATTTGGAGCAAGGAATTGAACTAATTGAGTTGGAAGCGGAAGAAACGGAGGTTATTTTGTTTCTCGTTCTATTCTGGTTAACTTGAATGATTGGATCTGGTGTGTAATTTTTGGTATTGAATGAATTAATTACTTTCCTAGTATGTCAACTATTTTTGACTGAACTTAGAACCTGAAAGATCCTGAAAAGTGGTAGGGGACTTAGATCCTAAAAGGTTTGGGGGGCTGGTTTAAGTGTGTATTAATTCATGCAAATGCTGTTAGTATTGTGACCTTTGACTCCTTAAATTCTGAATTGTGAAATGTGGAATGTGAGTTGGGAATTATGAATTTTGTATTAATTGTGAATGTTGGAACCCAGTTGTGAGTTGGGTATGTGATTTTCATTTGAGTTGGGATGGTTGTGATTTTGTGTTGAGTATTGAATTTGTATTGAGAGTATATAGCAAATGCATTGTTGAGCAGTGAATTGTGAGTTACTGATTTTAGTTGGTTCTACGTGATGTTGGAACTATTGTCAATGCATATTAATGATTGTTAATGGATAGCAATGTTTGTTTGTTCTTACTATTTGTAGTTAATATTATTGGTTAATATGGATAGGTAGTTAGTCTTGGTATTCTAAATTTAAAGGCAGGAGTGTTTCATTTATAATAGAAGTTAGGTTTTGTGAAATTTTGTGTGAGTAAATGTGTTGTTTAATTACTTGGCAAGAAGTGATGTCTAATACACCAATCCATAATGTATTGAGTTGTGTGCCGGAGGATGGATCGACACCTGCACGATGTGTTGTGGAGAGTGAAGAAGGGGTGTATGAGGATCTACTAGACCACCCTGAACCTGCTATGGTTTTCAGTAGTTAGGAGGATGCAGAAAAGTTTTTCAGGCAGTATGGAAAGCAGCTCGGCTTTGGTGTATTTTGAGCCTCTGGAAATTTTTAAATTGAGAAAGGGAAGACAGAAAAAAGTAAGAGGAGGAGCTACATATGGAGGTGTGAATTTTTGGTGGCAAGCCAGACTTGCGGCGCCGGGTGAATGGGAAGAGGGTATATGGTGGTGGGCTATCTTTGGAGCTAAACCAAAGGAAGACGAAGAAATGTGGTTGTCTAGTGGAGATGAGGGCAGCTTGTAGAGATGATGGTTCGTGGGAAGTTAGGAAGGCTGTGATCAAACATGGAAATCATAATCCCACTCCTCGAAAGTGCCGATACATCTCAATGTATCGGCAAGATGAAATAACTACAACTATTAGAAGGAAGTTTGGGGATGTTGTGTGTTTTGACTCGACATACGTTACAAATTAATACGAGCTACCGTTTTCCAATTTTGTTGGTGTTAATCACCATGGGCAGACTATGTTGTTAGGGTGTGCCCTTGTGTCTCACGAGGACACTGATACTTTTGTGTGGCTATTCACGAACTGGCTAGATTGCATGGGTGGCAAGGTTTTCGGGGGATTTTAACTAACTAGTAAGCGACAATGAGGAAGGCCCTGAGTATAGTGATGCCAAGTGCCAAGCACAAGTGGTGTTTATGGCATATTTTGAATAACGGTAACAAGTTGGGTAGTTACGCGAAGTACCAGGAATTCCATGATGTGCTACACAATGTTATCTACGATAGTTTAACTGGAGAGGTAAATTGGACTGTAGCAATTGAGTCCTATAGTCTTGGAAAGGATGAATGGCTATCAGGTTAGATAATTAGTAGTGGTTTTTATCATAATTTACTTATAAACTACTTTACTAATTTTAAATTTGTGGGTTGTTCTGTTGTGTTCTGTTCTTATTGTTTATACATGGTTAATGTTCTGTTCGGTGAATGGCTATTTTTTCTGCAAAATGTTTTGGCTGGGAAGTGAAAGTTCAAATTCATGCTTGAACACAATATGTCCTTTTGAATTGTTACTCTTGATTTTCTGGGCTATGAAAATTGCAATTTGGTAGGTGAATATTCCTTAGCAATTTCTATGAGTAATCCCCACAATTTAACTTTGTAGTAGAATCCAATTAAACCTCACATTGAAAAACTTAAAAGGTCTGTTTCTTTTTTCTGCCACTGAATGTATGTATATATGTGAATTTGTTAGGCCTAAGCATTGTGTAACACTTTAGAGACTGAATATATCTATATTTGTATTCGTTAATGTGTTAGGTCTTTTTGATGAGACATATGTGGATCCGCGCATATACAAAACACCTATTTTGGGCTAGAATGAAAACTACGCAGCGTTCTGAGAGCATTAATAGCTTTTTTGATAAGTATGTGAAGAGGGACACTCGGTTGTTTGAGTTTGCAGAGAGGTACTTCGATGCCATGGAAAATAGGACAAACGCGGAGAAAGAAACAGATGCAAATAGTGCCATAAGGGTGAGACAACTCATTACCGACTTTGAATAGGAGAGAGCCTTTCAAAAGGTGTACACTGATGCCAAGTTTGAAAAGGTCCAGGAGCAGTGTACCAGGCTTATGTACGTGAGTGTTCTCTAGAAAACGCAAATATCAGAAACTGTTGTGGAGCATTTGGTTGAAGATAGGGTATGGAAATATGTGAAAGAGTTGAAGAAGGAGATGCCAAGCCCGAGTAAGAGAGTTTACACTATAAACTTCAACCCTGAAATGAAAGATGCTTTGTGTGAATGCAAGCAATTTGAGTGTCATGGGATTCATGTGTAGGCATCAGTTAAAGGTGTATGATGTGAATGATGTGACTGAAGTGCCATCTAAGTATTTACTAAGGTGTTGGCGTAAAGACATTCACATGCGTCATACTCGTGTGAAGGTGGCATACCATGACCCTACGAAAACGGAAGAAGTGAAGAGGTATGATAAAATATTGACTCGGTTTGATAGTGTTTGCTTGAAGGTAGCTACTCGTCCAGAATATGTTAAGATGGCCTTTGAAGCCATTAGCAAGCTAGAAAGTAAGTTGGATGCTGCCATAGAAAAAGAGAAGGAGAAGGAGAAGAAGAAAGAGAAGGGTAACTCTAATTCAGGCTATAGGGCATCATCTCCATCTGTGAACAATAACGGTCCAAATCAGGTTGAAGAGCCAATTGCGACAATGAGTAGATTTGTTGTTGAGTCTCTTGGAAACTTGTCCGCCATAGGCCTTGAAGACATATCCCTTGACCTGGAAGGTCTTAATGATAATACACCGCTCATAACAATGGAAACACCCCAATTGGTTTCACATAATGTTAGTTTGGTGAATGTGAGTCCTTCTGTTGTTGGGAAAGTCTATTTCAGTCGGGGATCCAATATCCAAGAGAAAACCACATAGACCAAGGGGTAAGCGATTCCTTTCATGTACAGAGAAAGGTCGTACCAGACCCAGTAATAAATAGCGCAAAAATGGTCCACTTACCACTCAGGTAAATACTTGATTTGTAACGTAAGCTTAGTACCTGAATTTTGGTAGGGCTGACTATTGCTTTTGCAAATTCTTTCTATTGTTGTACAGGAAAATTTACAAGACACTTCTCAGGGGATTGAACCCTTTGCCCAAGAACCCTAACCTGCTAAAAACAAAACAAACAAGGAAGTCTAATATTAAGGAATCAGCACCAAGTACGCATGAAAGTGTAAAATGAATTCTTTGTGTGGAATCAGTAGCTAAGTTGGGTGAGGGGAACAGGGGGTAATAATTTTTTTGTTTTAAATCCATGGACAAGAAGCAAATTAGTGGTCTTCATATCCACCAAGCATGAGCACAAATGCCCCCCAGTGGGTTTGTGGTATCGGCTATGGACCAAGCTACGGCGAACTTGGTTATTTTACCAGATGAATTCATTCATGCCCAGAGTGGGTAATACGTACTTCGGGATGTTCATTCCTTTTGTTTCTACTACAAGTACCCTTACAATGCATCACAGTGTGGAAATCATTTCGGTTTAGGACGCTTATGAGTTCATTGGGGGAGATTCCTTTTTGGCAGAATTTTGGAAGCCTGCCATGGCCAAAAATGTGAAGCAGGATGGAATATGTGTTGTTTAACATATTAGTGGCCCCAAAATGGTTATATTTTGCTGTAATTTTGATCAAACGTCATATTTCTCATTTTGTATTCCAAACAAATATTGAAAATGGTTGAATGGTATAATTTGTCTATGATTATGATTTTTTGAAAATGATTACCCTATGATTATGACTTTTTTAAAATGGTTGTTTTTCAATTTGCAAATTTTTTATATATAATCTAATATGAGAATTTGATTGTATTCAATCAATAGAAACAACATGAAGAACTTCTAAAATATAAATAACAAATACGATGTCACATAAACAAGATAACTCGAGTACATAAGTAGTCACTAAGCTAAGCAAACATGGTGTTCATTGCAATACTAACCACCATTGATATTATTACATATAACATGATTGAGCTACAATAGTTCCTCCTTGTGACACCCCTTTTCTTATTAAACTTCTTAATTTCATTTGATAGCCGGTCGTTTTCTTTTTCTAAGCATTGCATTTTTGCCTTCACGATCATCAATTCAGTCGATAGCTTCTGCTTCTGAGAGATTAGGACGTTGGTTACATCCCGCTGCTAATCTACAACCTCTTCGTCCATCCATTCAAAGAAATCGCATCTCTTCTCACCTGTTTCAAAGTCGTAAAATTTGCAAGAAAGGAATCTCCTCCCCGGGTTGTCGTGTGTCCAACTGGTTCTCTTACACGCAGGAAACCCACATTCGCAGCGCTTCGACCTACTCATCTGCAAAATCGGCGAATTTATTAGTGAATTAATCTGTAATTTATTTGTAAAGTTACAATACAAATTGAGATAAGATCATAATATACTGTTAGTTTAAATGAATGTGCCCCCAATTTGAATTCTGGTATTAATTTGATTTGATATGAAATCGATTTTGGCCATTAAATATATTCGTGCTTCAAAAATTGTGCCATAACTTTTCCGTGTTTGTATCCTTGTACAATTGTACAGTTATATATGTATTTGATATTATTATTCCTTCTAGTAATACTGTTATTTTTTTTAGTAATACAATTTAATATTAACAATAAACTGCTATAACGTTACGAAAATTAAAATACAAAACTCAGTGAATAGTAATAGTAATATATATTATCAGTGAGACATAACCAATACATTAAACCATAGAGAGCACATCCCATCGTCGTTGATGGTCTTACAAAAAATTTGACTATTCTAATAGCTGGACAAATGATTTACGATGTTTAAATCCATAGGCTTATACAAAATAAATACAAGCGTTTAACAACGTACAAGTACTAGTAGCCTTCCACGTTCTAAACACTGACACGTTTTAATCTCTTTAATAAATTCTTTTTCAAACACTAGCCTTCCATTCTTTTTCAAATTACTAACTAATTACTGCTAACACTAGCCTTCCTCTTTTTCAAATTAATGACTAATTAGTAATTACTACTAACAGTAGCACTTCACTTATAAGTTTAGTTAATGCGTAGGAAATGATGAAATCTCCTTCTTTAAAATCCTTCGGGTTCAATGTGAGCATAAAGGTAAGTTCTATCGCGAATTCCTGCCTCTTGGATTGTTACGCTATCATCCAAATCAACTCTGTAAGCCACAATTTTACTCTTTGTGGATCGACCCGATTATCAGATGCCCATCGGGTGAACACAGTTGTCATGGGGGTGTCATGTCTTGCTCTAAACTGGAATGTGTTTCTTCGTTCAAATAAATCACTAATGTGAAAAATCAATCTCTCGTTCGAAGTAACACCTCGTGGATTGGCTGGAACAGGTTGCCCTTCCTATTACAACAAACCGTTACTGATGATTTTAGGTCATGATCAAGAGTTTGTATAATGATTTACAATTTTTACTTGCCGTGTTGTACGCAAGAACTACCTCGTCCTTGCAAAAATCCCTTTCATATGGTGTCTCAGTTGGTGTGATTAGTTGACCTCGGTTGTAGAAACGCAGCTCATCTGGACGAACACCGGCTCTTCTTGCATAATGAATAAATAAGGAGTTGAAAGGTTCATCGTGACGGTATACTTTAGCCCGTCGTCGTCCACGTTCCCACCCTTAATACACATGCTACACTTTGTTAGGAGGGGAAAACCTACTAACACCACACTATCACCGATTTATATGTGTGTACCGATGCGGAAGATGAAGATGAGGACTTTTTCCTAGCGTGTTGCTTGACAAGGGTTAAATCGGTTGCTATAATCTAACTCTCAATCAAACAATACTTATACGAACGCCCTATAACCAAGTACAATGGCAAATAAAGGTTCGGTCCACGAGAAATGAGAGTAATTGCAAATCAATCTTAAACCTAAGCTTGTTCGAAATCAATGGAAAAATGGTGTTCTAAAATACTACTAATAAGATGGAATAAATCAATAAACTAAGACACTAGGGAGAACGGGAATTCACCAAACCATCGGTAACTACGCAACAAGGAATCATAGAGACAAACGGGATATGCAAAGACTATATGTCTGATCAATAACGTGCGATAGGAAGACAACGGGCAATACTAAGCTTGGATTTCTCATGCACTTAACATTACTCGATACATAATCAAACCACATTCAATAATGAAATACTCAATTCACAATCTCTTGTTCAAACCAAGAATAACATGCAATCAAATTCAAGACTCTAGGTTAGCTACTCCTATTATAATGAATTAACATGCAATCGCATATAATCAGTTTAATCACAATCCGTTTATCAAAACCAATCCTCAATTACATAGATTACCTAGGCCGGGTTTCATCCCGAAACCCTAGCTAGGAAACTACTCACACATATTCATAATCACAGTAATAATAGATTCCATAAACATCATAGATCTAAACATAAATTCTGATTAAGGAATAATAAAGCTAGATTAATAAACAAGAATGAATAATACCAATTGTATTGATGCGAATCAATGGAAAAGTTTAGAACCTTGATATCCGTCGTCAATGAATAATACAAAGAATCTTCACAAATCTTGCTTCAAATCAATCCAAGAAACTAAAATCGCTAGAATAATCTTTAAGAAAACTAATGAATCTCTAATACCAAGAACTTTCTCCAATAACTCTCTACAAAGGCTCTCAAAAACTATCTCTAAATCTGCTAAAAACGCTCCTTAAAGTCGGGCCTTATATACGTCTTCTAATTCGGAGAAGTAAAGCGCGCAGTCAACCCTGGATCAGCACGGCCGTGCTATATTTGGCACGGCCGTGCTAGCTTGTCAGTAGCTAAACCGGATTTCTTCTTCAATTTGGCACGGCCGTGCTAAAAATGACACGGCCGTGCTGAATATGCTCTAGCACGGGGCTCATACTGAAGCTGACACGAGCACGGGCAACATCTGGCACGACCGTGCCAATGTCCTGCACGGCCGTGCTGGTGCGTAAATACTGACACGACCGTGCTATTGGCTTGCACGGCCGTGTTGCCTTGCCTGGGGCTGCTTGCTCATAGGCCAGCACGGGTGTGTCTATGGTAACACGGTCGTGCTGCCTGTGCTATGTAATCAATGCACGACACTTGAACTTCCTTAACTCCTCGGACTTCGGTCAAGGCTAGCTCGGTTACGCATCAAGGGCTCGGGATCCGACTAAACTCGGTTGATATTACCTGAAAACACATCAAAAACAAACCGAAAACCCGTGAAGCACGTAATATAGGGGACATAAGCATAACAAGGAAATAATCGGCCAAAACGGCCCCAAATACATCCAAAATCATCCTAATATATGCTCTAAAGCGCGCCCTAAAGTGCGCTTGTCAAAACCCCCCAAGCTACCCTTTTGCTAGTCCTCGAGCAAAAACCAAGGGAAACACACACAAGATCAATAAACTATGCCATTGCATATAAATCAAATTAAGCACGGAATGAAGTCAATGGATCCTTCTTAGAACAACCATGCACGGAATTAAAACTCACTCAAACAAGCAACGAGACACACAATCTAAGGTATCGTTGATCAAAATGAAAACAAGACCTAAACCAAGCATAGAGAACAAAGAAGTCATGCTTCCCTCTAAACCCAACCAAACCGGCCACGTCCTCCCCTTTTGCTTCAAATCACCACCCTAATTGGCTCCTCATGATTCCTCGAAGGAACCGGAAAAAGTAATATTTTGAGGAAATAATAGGTATCTTGACATCTCAATCACGCATAATCTTTCCATAGGGTTGAAAAGCATCTCCCTCCACCGTTTGAGAACCGAACACCTCTAAAGTCTAAGGGTCTTAAAGGGTTGTAATGTATTGGCAATGGGTAAGGTAGGTGAAAACAATTTAAAAAGTGGGGTTAATTCCAAAATGAAGCGCAAGAATCACAATTCTCAAAAACAAAAGTTCAAAAGATGTAATTCACATTCCACAATCTCATTGATTTACATTCTTACACATCCCAAATTATCCATATAATACACACTCAAATTACCTTTTTCAAACTTCAAACTTTATTTATGTGTCCTTGCCTTTTTCACAATTCGGACGACTTTTCTCTTCTTCTTTTTTTCTTTTTAAATTCTATTTCTCTTTTTTTTTTCTTTTTTTAGCAAAATGAATTTCACATTACATATTTACAATTAGGCTCACTTTCAAACTTGCTCAAACCAACTATCAATCATTATTTCTTGATTAGTAAACAATAAGCTCAACAAACCTATCTAGGTAAACGCTTCACAACTAAGGGTTGGTAAAACATTGGCCATCGGGTTTGTAACACGGTTAACCAAGAATGGAATTAAAGCTCAACATGGTTAGCAAGTAAGATGATGTAAAAAGAAAATCAATTTGTAACAAAACAAAAGGAACAAAATAAGAAAAATGAAAAAGGTGCCCTCTTCATCCCTTAAAAGTGTCAAGTCGGTCTCGGGAGCTACTAGTCAACACAAAGATAAAAAAATGCGTAATCAAGGATCCAAATATGCCACTCAACAAGAACGATGAAGGCTAGAACAAATAAACCTCATGGGATCTAACAAATAAAGCAACTACCAATCAAGGGGATCAAATCCACAACCGGGAAGCGACTCCATCTTACCACAGTCCAAAGGCCTAGAGTTTCACATGACAAAAGTGTTCTATCTACCTACCCTTCGCCTAGACTTGTCTACATTGAT